AGGAGAGGGAGAAGCAGGCTCCCCGATGAGCAGGGAGCCCGATGCGGGGCTCGATCCCAGGACCCTGGGATCACGACCTGAGCCGAGGGCAGACGCTTAACTGACTGAGCCACCCAGGCGCCCCAAAACCACTAATGGTTTTGAATAGGGAGGCTTACAATATTTATTTTTTTTGGAGATCACCTCATATTGTAGTTATTCATGTGGTTGTCTTGTCACATCTATCCGGTGAGTTCCACTGGCTTGTCTTACTCATTCCTGTTCCCTCACTTACTTAGCACTTATGTTCTGACATAATAGAGTTCAGTGAATTGTTGCTGGATTGAATTACCAATTATTGCTTCCCCTGTCCCCACCTACACTATGAGTCAGCACTTGTTCAAGATCACACAGTTCCTTTTAAATGTTCTCATCTTAAATCTAAGTTCTGAAATATTATATTAAATATGCTAGCTGATTTGTCTAGTCTCTACCCCTCAGGACCTAATGCTTAGTAGGTGGGGAGAAAATCTGAGCTAAGTGAATGGTTTGTATGGGAAAAATGTTGCAGGAGGCTGCCTTTTCCCAGAAGTGTGATGTTCTGAGTGACAGGAAAGAAAGACCAACAGAACCCAGTGTGCTGTGAGCCTTCCTCCTCTCAAGGCCTCTCTCCAGGGGTTCTGCCTAGTGCATTATGGAAATGGTATTAACATGTGCAGAATCTTAATTTCTGATCTCAGGGCCCAAATGTATCTATTTACGTGTCTGTGTCACATTGATTTATTCATCCAATGAACATCTAGAGGCCACAATGTGCTGGCTGCTTTATGTCTGGCCCTGAAGATAGGAAAATGAAGAAGGCAGGCTCCCATTCTTAAGGAGCAGAGTCGCTTGTTCTCACTTTCCTTTTTCATTGAGCACCACCTCCTTTTTAAAAAATGTTGCCCACCAGACCTAGAATAAACATAACTCTAGGCCAGTGTGTAGAATTGTTGCTGGAGTCCTGTGTGCTAGTCTTTTCCTTTTTGTTTTACTGACACTCGCTTACTGTGTGCTCAAGGGCAAGTCAAGTTGCCTCCGTGCCTTGGTTTCCCCTCTTGGATATCCGTGCGGTATCTACTTGCCCTTCCTAAGCCTCCGGGGCTAGGGGAGGGTCGTGCAGGACAATGGATGCTGAGAGTAGTGGGGAGGGTCCCCATTCAATCCTGGGTTGTCACCACAATTTGAAGAGAATCTGGACATAAGTCAGAGAAAATAAACACTGTTGTTCCCCCCCCCCCAGTGGAAATAACTGCTTTTTGGGGGGTAGGTTTAAAATGAAAATATTTAAAAGTAGCTGTGTGATATTGAAGAAGTCATTTCTCTTTCCTGAGTGTCAGTTTACGTTCCTATGAGATAAGGCAATGGGACTGGATTATGTTCCAGAAAACAATTCACTGGGAAGAGATTCTTCTATTCCCATGTCTACAACTAGAGCAGCCAGAATCTTTAAAAAATTTCCCCTCATTTTACATATTTGACCTCAGTGTAAGCTTTTTTCTTTCCTCCCTCCCTCCCTGCTTTCTTCCTTCCTCCCTCTCCCTCCCTTCCTTCCTTCCTCTCCTTCCTTCCTTCCTTCCTTCTTCCCTCCCTCCCTTCCTTCCTTCCCTTTCCCTTCCAAAATCCCAGAGCTAAATTAAAACAGAAAAAAACCAAACAAACCCCTCACTGCTAAATAATCTGGAACATCCTTCTTGCTGTCATGTCCACACACATGTGGACCCATGTGCTATCTACTTAACGCATGTGCATTCCTCTTGCACGTGTTAGGTGTGCATGAGGCCCCCTGGGTACAGAATGCTTTTGTAGAGAATCAGCAATGAATCTGTGGCCTGCTTGATTTTTATTTTTAAGTGTGCACTCCGAGATGACCATTTTTAAGGGCAGCATTCCTGAGTCTGCATAGCCTTTGGCAGCTGAAGGCTGAGTAAGAAATTCAACAACGGGTCCAGGGAAAACCTCTTCTTGCAAATGCTGGAATGCTTCAGCTGCACATGGGACCCGACGGTCGGGGGAAGTGGAGGGTTGTGGGAACAGCGCCACCTTGTGGCTCCCGCGGTCACTTTCCCGAACAGAGCCTGGCCGGTCCCAGAGCTAAGTGCTTGGCCCCTATGGGGTGGAACTCCTGGAAATGGGGGTTCTTAATTTATCCGGAACGGGCCGAGGCTCTCTGAGCCCAGAACCTGTGTTCGAGCCCAGGTTCCTGCCCGGCAGCAGCGCCAGCTGCCTGACTTAGGAGCCCTTCTCCGAAAGCTGCTGCGCTGCCCTGGCCAGTGAGGGCTACCACGCAGGGTGTGTGATGGTTGGGAGAAGTGTGCTGGTGGGACAGTGTCCTTTTCTGGAAGAGGAGGACGGAGCCTGAAGGAGAGGGGACAAATTTCACAACTGACACGGCTGAGGCCAAGGTGGGAAGACGGTACACCAGGAATTACACGGAGGGAGGGCAAGAAGAGGCATCCCCTGTCCAGAAACCCAGGACACGTGTGAGGAAGGGAGGACTCTACCCCTCACCTCACCCTCCTGACCCCCCGTCTGGGAGCCCTGATTGAGCCCTCCTGCTCTTCGCCTCCCTCACTGCCCTCCCATCCCTGGCCCGGGGTTGCTGGGAAGACCAAAGGAAAGGTAAGGGACTTGGCCCAGTGCCTGGCACATGGAGAGTCCTCAGAGGTTCCCACGTCTGTCCTCACCCTCTTCCATTCAGCGGACCCGACATGGGGTGAGGACAACGAGCCGCTCAGCCAGGGTCGGAACTCACCGCCGGGTGCGGCGCTGACCCGCACGGATGTAACACCAACTGCAGATGCAAACCCCTTATTTGATCTAACCTTTTCTAGGGGTCCCATGGAAAGAAGTCAAAAGAAACAGGTGAAATTACTTTTCATAATATATCTTATTTCACCCAATATATCAATATCTTGTCATTTCAACATGCAATGAAAAAAAATCAGTAAGATAGTCTATGTTCTTCTCCCCCCTTCTCCTGAGTCTTTGAGATTCGGTGTGTATTTCACACTTGCAGCTCGCGTCCCTCCCCAGGCCCTGCTCCCGAGGAGATCTGGAGCTACTTCTCCGTCTCGCTGAGTCACCAATGTTCCCTGTGCTTCGGGGCAGATCACTCCCTCACGTGGGTCTTGTTGTCCTGCTCCATGAGATATGGGGCTGGGTGGCTGACCTCTGCTGTTTCTTCCTGGAGGGAACTTTTACGATCATAAAATGGGGCCTAACCGGTTAGTGCCCTGCCCTGCTCTTCCCCCCTCCCCGCCTCCCCGCGCCCCTCCCCCCCCCCCCCGCCCTCCCGGGTTGCTGCAAGGCCCTGTGAGAGCTCGGGGATATGCAAGCAGTGCTTTGCAGGGAGAGGAAAGTCAGTTATCTGTGTCATATCTCCCCCATCCCTGCTTCCTGAGGATTGCTGGAAGCTGCCCTGACTTCGTTAGCCAGACTCCAGACTACTGAGGTCTCTAACTGCAGCTCCCCTGAAGGATTCCCTGGCCTCGTTCATGGGCCTCTCCCCTCTTTCCTGGGCTTTGCATTCTCTTGCGGTGGGCTCCTCTAAACTTTGGAGCAAGACAGAGCTCTGGTTTCCACCTGAGCTCCCTGAAAGCAGGCCTCCTTTGGTGCTGTGGGGAAATCGTGTGAGGCTCAAGTCTGAACCCCATAAGCCCCAACCATCCATGAGGGCCCCAGCTCTCCCACTGACGGAGCTCAAGACTCAGTCAGCTTCAGAAGCCCCACTCGGCTCTGCACGTAACAGTTCCTTACCCACACACCTCCTGGGCAGAGGGATAGTCCTCAAAGCACCTGACTCCTTCCCTGTACTTGGGACATAGACCGGTTACATTGGAGTTGATGGAGACTGTCAGTCAATCCCTGCAGTTAATCAATGGGGAAACTGAGGCCCAGAGAGGAGGCATGTTGCCAAGTCATGGGACCAGTCGGTGGCAGAGTCTCCTGACTCTCATCCTGGGCTCTCCCCTCCCCTCCCGGCACCCCCCTCCCTACCACCAAACGTGCAGTTGGGTCCATCTGCTCTCTTCGCTGGTGGCTCTGCACCTGTCATGGACAGCCTTGGATAAAACCACTCAAACTCAGAAGCCCCTGGGGGTTTGACTCTGGGTTTGCTGGGTGGGGTGGGGGCTGCAGAAAACAAGGCCCTGGGGGAGCTGGACCTCTATAGCCTCACCCCCAGCTGTTTCAGCTCCAGCCCCCTGCCCCAAACACATTCTCCCCTTTCTGGCCACCCGGAGCCACCCCCAGCGAAGCACTCTCCCTCTCACCTCCAGGCCTTGGTCCCCAGGCTGCTCCTTCTGCCTTTCCATGTGCAGCCAACTCTTACCCTCAGAGACCACCTCAGACATCCCATCCTTCACCCTGTTTCCCAAAGTCACCCTGTTACGGCCGCCACCAGACTCCCTGTCTGGCTTCTCCCTGCATATCCAGGGCCTGGCACCGTTTAACGATGGAGGTGTGAATGAGGTCCTGGATTCTGGCATGTTCCAATTCCAGACTGGACCATACAGGAGCAGCCTCCTCTGCTTCCTCCTGCCCAGGGTTGCCCATCTCTCCTTCCCTCCCTTCCTTCCCTAGTTGCCCTTTCCCTGCAGGAAAGTGCCCCAGTGGGCCCGGGCAGGTGGCCAGGCATTGCCCTTCCGCCCAGTCTGGTGGGACCTGGGAGGTCTCTGACTGCCCCTGACAGTCCTGGTTCCCCCTGGCAAGCTTGTGTGCACTGGCGCGCTGCAGGTGCCCGCGAGGTGGCGCCAAAGTGCTGCCAAGAATGGCATCCCGTGCTCCCTCTGGGCTCCCCCCAACAGGGCCAGAGCCCACCTTAGGTCCTGTTGCTGTGACAGGGTCCTGAAGGTTCTGCTCGTCATTGGGGCCCCGTGCTCCATCAGGCTGGGCTCTGAGTCACTCTTTGTACGCCAGCCCCTGCCTGGGCTGTGTGGGGCATGGGGGACAGAAAGCCATGCAAGGACTGGCAAGGTCCTATGTACTTCCTGTGCGTCGATTTCCCACCATCACAATGATTTCAGTGTCCTAGGCTGAGAGCTGGCAGAGAACTTAACCATTATTAGATGCTGGTGTGCCTGAAATAGGTTACAGGTTTATGCAGACATTGACTCTCAGGGTCCTGACCCTTGGGGTGGCTGGTGGAACCAGGAGGGTGGGACCCCTTGAGCCAGCTGCCTGTGGCAAGAAGCAGCCTCATTCATTGTAAAATTATTTTTTATAGATTTTATTTATTTATTAGAGAGAAAGAGAGAGAGAGAATGAGCAGGGAGAGGGGCAGAGGGAAGAGGGAGAAGCAGGTACCCCGCTGGGCAGGGAGCCCGACACACGGCTCCATCCCAGGACCCCAGGATCATGACCCGAGCCGAAGGCAGATGTTCAACCGACTGAGCCACCCAGGCACCCCTCATTGTAAAATTAATATTTTCTATACAGGTATACCCCGCTTTTCAAAAGTTCATGTTATGCCACTCAGCTTTCTTGTGAGACCTGCGCTAGTACCTGTTTTCGCCCACTGAAGGAAATCCAAGGAGGATTTGGGCTTTTATGGAGAAGGGCAAGAAGCGGACATCGTGTTCAGCCTTGATTTTGCAGAGAGCCTTGGTGGAGGCAACGCACACCCCAGGCAGAGAGAGCAGCCCTGCCTCACTCCTTCCCCGGGAACGACACTCAGCATCCCGGCATCAAGCTGCCACGGCTTTGAACCGTGTCTGTGAGCATCTGTGTTTTTTCTCAATGTATTTTGTGTATCTGCTAGCAAGATGTGTCCTAAGGCATAAGAGAGGTTGTTTGGCGGCCTGAGAAGTTATTTTTGGGGGCCTGAGTATATAAATTAATGGTAATGCCTTCCTTGCTTTACACCATTTTGGCTTGTGAAAGGTTTCATAGGAACGCTCTGCTATCAGAGAGCAAACCTATATTTACTCAGAATGAACGTGATCAGGAAGCACTTACCTCAGGCTATACTGTCCAGTAGGGACACTAGCCACTAGCCACAGGTGACTACTGGAATTAAAATTAGTTACAATCAAATAAAATTCACAATCCACACTAGCCACATTCCAGGTACTCAGTGGCCACACTGACTAGCAGCTCCCACATCAGACAGCACTGGGATGAAGATTTCCATCCTTGCAGAAAGTTCTGTTGGCTACCAAGGATCTAGAGCTTACTCTCACCTCTCCTGGATAGGGTGTGCTCTAGAATTTCAGAAAGCTCTTGACTCCAGCACGCTCCGTTCCATCGCTGTGGCTGATGCAAGGGCACAGAGAAATGAAATCAGACAGACCTAGGATTAATCCCTGACTTTGCCATTTACTAGTTTTGTGGCCTCGGAGAAGTCACCGAGCTCTCTCTGCCTCTGTTTTCTCATCTGTGAAATGGGGGCGGTATTCCCCTGCTCCCCTGGCTCCTGGGAGGATTACATGAGGCAGAGCAGTGAGTCACCCGATGAAGAGCCCGGCACACAGTTCTATGGCTAGCCACCCCAACTCTGGCTGCGTCTTTTTGCAGCCGCTCACCCACAAAAGCCCGTATCTCGGGTCTCTACTGTGTTCAGACCTGTGTCGGGTTCCACAGTCTATTCAAAGGGAGCACAAGGCTTAATTCTAGAAGAGATTGCAATCTAGGTGGGAGGGCAAGATAAGTGCATGAAGCAACCTGAAAACAATTCTGAGGCAATACATAGGACAGCATATCATCCAGTGCCGTGAGGCCCCACTGGGAGGCGTTGTGTAGGGCCAGGAGGTTCATGGGAGAGGGCTCTTGCCGGAGGGGGGATGGGGGGGGGAAGGATATGGTCTGCAAGGCAGCATAGGCGGGGACGGGCAGAGCCGATGGCAGAGGAGTGGCGCTGGAGGACGGTGCTGGGCCAGGGGAACAGCATGAGCGAGGGCGGACGCGGAGGTGGGCCAGGGAGTGGCCCCAGCTAACATGCGCGTGTGCATGCGAGGGGCAGTGGAGCTGAGGGTTTTGTGGAGGGAGAGCCAGGAGGCTTTGCCAAGAAAATCCCTCCGCTCTCGGCAGCCTGGCTGAGTTGCTTGAGTTTGATGAAGTAGGTGGCTGCCAGGCAGGTGGGGCTCGGCGCTGTGAAACAGGCCTGGGGAAGGTCCCGTTGGCGGCACCGGTAGGAGGGTCTGTTAGGGAGATCCTGAAGTCAAGGTGACGGTCAGAGACCTTTACTGAGCGCTGTCCGCATACCCTGAGCTCAAATTGCTGGATCCCAACATGTTACCCAGAAAGGGCACTCCATTGGCTTGTACAAGTAGTCCAGGTGGCAGTGGGCAGTGGGTGGGTAGCGGGAGGAAGCAGGATGGAGGAAATGCATTCACAGCATATGCAAATCGGAGCCCCAGCTCTGCTGAGGAAAAGAACAGGATGAGGGCTGAGACTGGAGGTAGCAGTGAGGAGAGGAGAGAGGGGACTCCAGCTGGGCTCTGAGAAGCAGGGCTGGGTACACATTCACCAGGCAGAAGCCTCTCTCCACAGGTGCACACACCTGTATACCTACAAGTACATGGGTGTAGCCCCCCAATTTACACGTGCATGCTAATCATACCCAGAGACCCTTAAGGAAACACGCACACGCACATGTACGCAAATGCACGTGGACGCACACATGCAGGCACACGCCAACACACATGTGCGTATACACGTGTTCTCCACCACCCCCCACCCCCCACCCCCGCCCAGTCCAGCCTCTCCTAGGGCTGGAGCTGGGGCTGGCATTGGGTTTACGGCAACCAAGCCAGGAAGAATCTGTCCTGCCTGGGCACCGAGTCCATTTCGGATGGAGCCTTCTCCAGCCTTTCCTTGTAAACACTATTTATTTTGGAAAGCAACTTCTCTGTTTTCAAATAAAAAGTTGGGACATGTGGTATTGAATTTCCCTGATCTGACATTGACCTAGAAAAATGTGCTGGCAGGAACAGAAAATGCGCTGCCCCACTGTGCTGGCAGGCACAAGTGAGTTTCGCTCTTCTTGGCTTTGACTGCAAAGGTTAAGGTGCAAACGAGGGGCTAGTGCTGCCTCCTTGTGCGAGCAGCGTTCTCCCTGCAGGGCTGGGGGAAGCTGAGGCCTGAGTCTGGGGGCTTCCTGCAGGCCTGGGTGCTCATGGTGTTGAAGAGCAGGCTGGCAGGGTCAATCAGAGGCAGCTCTGGAGGGGCAGCTGATCACGGGGGCCAGTGACAGGGGCCAGCAGGCAGAGCTGCTCCAGTCCATGCAAAGCAGGTATGGGGCCCAGCTAGGGGGATCCCCAGAGTCATCATCGGGGGACGGGCAATGCAACTTCAGCTCTGGATGAGGTTTGAAACGGGCTCCTGTCTCTTGAAGGAGAACAGGCTTCCAGGAGACAGAGAGGCCACGATGGTCTGGTGAAGGTCAGGGTCTGCTCCAGGCCTGCCGGGGGCCTGGGTACTAGTTATATAGAATCCAAGCAGAAGCTCTGCACCATGGTGGGAACATGAGCACTCACAGTCCTTTTAGGGGCATGGGGTCCTGATCTGATGGGCATCAAAGGAGGCTGAAGAAGCAATATGCAATCCACTGCCCCACAGAACCCCTCAGAATCCCCCAGACAAGTGGGTGACTTAATTCTCTGCCTGTTGAGACCAGGCTTCACATTCTGCCCGTTTTCCCCATGGCCTCTTGTGAGGATGAAATGAGATCAGAAATGTAATGTGCCCAGCCAGGGCCCGTAACACAATAAGTGCTCAGCGAATCTGAGATCATATCCTGGCTTCACCACTGACTCGCTGTGTAGACTAGGGCAGCCTACCCACCTGTGCCTTAACTTCCTCATGTGTAGAAGGCAGGTAATAATAAAACGTACTTCACGGAGCTGTTGGGGATCTGATGAGTTAATACACATAAGGCACTGTGAATAGTGCCCGGCACTTAATAAGCACGATGAAATGTTTGCTTATAAATTAAATATTATTCTTAGTGATTTATTCTTGCATGCATTCACTTATTCATTCAGCAAGTATTTATGGAGGGCCTGCTACGTGTCGATACTGTTCAGGCCCTGGGAATACAATGGTGAACAAGAGACAAACTCCGTGGTAGGTAGAATGATGTCTGCCCCACCCCCTGGATGTCCATGTTCTAATCCTGGACCGGGTACATAGGCTGTGCTACATGCAGGGGAGGGGGGGGCAGGTTTAAGGTTGCAAATCAGCTGGTCAGAAGATAGATTATCTTGGGGAATGGGGTGGGGGGGCAGGAGGCTCAACATAATCACCAGGGTCCTCCTAAGTACAGGAGGAAGACAAGAGAGGCAGAGTCAGATATGTGAGGGCCAAGCAGAGGTCAGAGCGATGGGATTTCGGGCTTTGATGATGGAAGAGGGCCACGAGCCAAGGAGTGTGGGTGGCCTGAAGAAGCTGGAAAAGGGAAGGAGCTGGATTCTCCCCTGAAGCCTCCAGAAAAGAATGCGGCTCTGCCCCTGATTTTAGCCCAGTGAGCTCTCTGCCTTCCAGAACCTTAGGATAATAAATCTGTGTTGTTTTAAGCCACTAAGTTTGTGGGAATTTGTTATAGCAGCAATAGGATACGAACCTAAATCCTTCCTCATGGAGCTTACGTTCGTCCAGGGGGAGTAGATAGTAAGGAAGTAAATAAGGAAATAAACATGGTGTGTGGGATGGGCATTTTCTCTTCTTTCTCTGCGGTGGTGAGCCTGGCTGCTGGGCACAGATGTAACTGCAGGGAGCAGGGGGCAGGACAGGCTGGAGGGAGCTTGTCAGGCTGCCGTCCCCCCAGTATGGGCACCTCCAGCCATCATGCCCCTCCATGTGGCCGAAGGGCAAGGGCTGCTCGGGGCCAGTGCTGCCAGGCTCTGGTGGGACACACAGCTGGGGATCCGGGGCTCCGGGGCTGGGGGGGGCAGGTGTGCAGGGTCTGGTGCAGGAGTGGGTGGGGCTGCTGCAGGAATTAGCTGGCTCCTGGGGGGGCCTGCTGGTGAGGCGATGAGAATGACGAAAATGTGGGATTTGTCAGAGCCAATCAGGAGGGTCGCCTCTGTGAGAACCTCTCCAGGTTTTTGTAGTACAAGCTCTTGATTGAGCATAATGAGCAGCACCCAGCATCGGTTCTGGGTGGTTTTGCTGCAAACATCTTTGCCGCAGGCGTTTTCACTGCATAACTAATTGACCGTAAGACAGTTTTGCAGTAAAAGATAAAATAATGGGCTGGCTGGTTACATTCCTCCATTGATACATCCACTGCCTTCTGCAGAGCTAATGTATGGACGCTGGTTGTCAGTTGGGTTTTATTGCTCCATTGACAGGCTTCCGGGAGGTGTGAAACACAGAGTGGAGGGCCAGACTGCAAGCCACAGTCACCGGAGGAGAGGACCCCCGGGCCCCCCGAGAGCAAGGCTCAGTCACAAACGGCTGAGCCGCAGCCTTTTGTCCCCACGCCCGGGGCCAGCCGCCCTGTGGGAGGCTTTCACAACGCCTTCCGGGGCTCGGTTACAAGTACGCATCCTAGGATTTGGGAAGCGGATACCTCTCTGATGAAGGAAGAAATGAATCATTTTATTAACTTTTTCACGTTTCATTGGGTCCTTTTAAATGCCCCTCTTTTAGGTGTCGTTATTTTATCTTTTACGGCAGATCTGCCTTACGGCAAATCAGTTTTGCGGCAAAGACGCTTACGGCGGAGATGCTCCTGGCGAAATACCAGACGTGCCAAGAAATCCTGCCCGAAGGAGGCTGCAACACGCCGCTTGGCTTGGCTTTCATCTTGCCCAGCTGCTTACCAAAGCCTTCCTCTTTCCTCTTCGAGGCCTTTAGTTGGCAGGGCTGAGCCCGGAGAACTACCTCAGGAGATGGCTGAAGCCTGGCTCGAATCCGGCCTCCCCAGCTCCTCCCTGCCCGTCCCTGAAGTCGGCCCCATCCTGAGCTGGAGGACCCGCAACCCAGCACCAGGTGGGGGCTGCTTCTCAGCTGTGGACTGAGGGAATGGAGCCTTGTGGCCTATGTTCGGGAATTCACCGAAGGGGCATCATCCCCGTGGTAGACGGACTCTGATTTATGTGAGTGCACACGGGAGGGCACAGAGACCCTGGGTAGGTAGGTAGGTAGGGGGGAAGAGCTGTCTTTGACCTAAATTCACGACGGCGCTTGGGCCCGTGCGTAAACTCTGCATACATGTGTGCATCCACCACTGCCTGCCCTCCGGCTGCCCTTTGCGGTCTCGCTGATGGCCTTTGATGCCGGATTCCCAGGCCCTTGAGACTTTGAACTTGACTTGATTGCCTCACCTCACCAGGGGTGGGTGGGTAGGGGAGCGTGTGCGCTGTTGTCCACAGGTGTGCCCCTGTGGGATGTGTGCACTTGGAGCGGGGCCGCTGCACACCCGGCAGAGCTGTGTTAGGTTATGCGGGGATATACTAACTTGACCTTTCTTTTTTAACCCGAAGAAGGGGCATCCTTTCCTAATTTGCATGAAGGTGGCCTATGGGCCATCCAGGCCCTGACCTGGCTCACAGAGATGCAGCCTTTACAGCCATGATCTGTGTGGTGAGGCCTCAGCCTTTACGTCCCTGTATAAAATTTCAGTTGTTTAGTAGCTATGGTCCTGCTCCCTGGGTCAGCCTTGACTTGCACTCTAACTCTTATTACTCATCTGAGTCTCTCAACCCTGAGGCTGGACCCAGAACTCTGCCCCTGCCTGGCGTCTGCTGTATCTGAGCTCGCTGTCTGCAGCTTACCTGCCTTTCAGAGTTCTCAGCCAGGGGCAAAGGCAGTGTTTGCATGGCCAGGGAGGGGCAGAAAACCGAGTTGAGAAAATACTTCTAAAGCCAGACCTAGGGAAGGGGTAGAGTCTAAACTGGGACAGCCTTTCTGGGGAGCAGTTTGGCAATATGGATGGATTCACATCCTTGGATGCAGTGATCCCGCTCTTGGGAATTTGTGCTTAAGAGAGAATCAAAGATGTGTGCACAGATTTTGCCGAAGATGTTAGTTGAAGCATTGTTTGTGCTAGCAGTGGTTGAAAATAACCCAAAGGTCCATCAAGAGAAGGAGTGACTGAATCACAGAGGGTCCTCGACTTTCACACATAGGAGTGTTCCCAGAAATCCATCCAAATGTCACATGTTTGAATCTTGGACAATAGCTTATTTTGAAAAACTAACAATGGCTCTTAAAGTTAGGAGAGACGTTACTATCCTCCCCTACTTTAAAAACATTATCGATTCATGGAATATGCCTTTGAAGACACAATCTTGAATAATATGTGTCTTAGTTTGGGTTTCCCCCAAAGTAACACCTGTGATAACAATTTGCGGGTGGATGGGAAGCCAGGCTGGAGTACGCGGAAATGGGAAATGCTGAGGGGATATGGTGAGGCGCTCATCGGGTCTGTTTGGTACGTCTCTAGATTTTGTATGTTTTCCCTGATTCTTGTCCCTTAACAGTGGAACCTACAGGTGGCTAGCCAATCCAGAGGGTGCTCATTTGAGAATGAAGACTTCCCACGTGATTTCTGATCTTGTCACAGTTTGATGATTACTACATCAACATTTCTACTTTCCTCGGGTTTTTATAAAATTGTAAGTACCAAATGCCATCTCCAAGTAATCTGTTAACTCAGGTGGGCTAGAAACATACATTTCATTATTTCCATTACCTGAAATGAGTTTTATTTTAGACTCATATCACTGAATGAGGGAAATTAATCCCCATAAGTACGGGGGCTGCCTCGACCCTTTTCCTAGGGCCTGGGAAGGTGTATAGTGCCAGATGTTGGTTGCAGGGTGGGGTGGTGGGGGTTGCAGTGAGGCGGTGGAAGGTTGTCTACACTGAGAGGCCTCCTCGCTGCTCGGTCACTCGTCCACACCAGCTCATCCATCCCGAGTCCCTCTGAGTCCACTGGCTCTGTGGCAGTGATCCCATGCCCTCTCAGAGGCAAGGGCATCACTCAAATGCCCTTGGCTACACTGAAAGCAAAGGCTGTTTCCCTCTGCTTTCTGAGATCAGTCCCTACAACATCTGTGTGTGACACTGTCCTTTCCCTCGCCCACCCCTACACGAAGGGACTCTGCCCGGGAGAGGGAGGGCCGGGGAGGGGACAAAGTGTGCCGGAGCCTCTGTTCCTGGCCTAGCCCCGCTATTTCTCTTTTTCTCCCATCAAAGAAGTTTTTTGTTTTTATTTTTGTTTTGCTTTCAAGGGTGAGAAAAACCGCTCTGTCCAGCAACTGTATAGCTCCACATCTGGTGTATTATCCATCCCAGATTCCTTTCTGTTCCTGCTGTTCTGGTTGTCTATTGTTGAATAAGAAACTACCCCATCAGTGAGTGGTATAAGACATGTACATTTTATTTGGGTCTAGGGTTGCCAGATAAACCGTGATGAATATTTCACCTGTATGTATTTTATCTTCAAATGTTAAAAACTTAAAATTTATCTTCAAATACTATACCTATAAAAATTTAATCCCAGTTAAATTTGAATTTTAGATAAACAGTTTTTTTTTTTAAATATGAGTATATCCCATGCAATATTGGGGACATACTTATACTAAAAAATTATTTGTTGTTGATCTGAAATTCAAATTTAACTGGATGTTCTCTATTTTTTTTTTTAAGATTTTATTTATTTATTTGACAGAGAGACAGCGAGAGAGGGAACACAAGCAGGGGGAGTGGGAGAGGGAGAAGCAGGCTTCCCATCGAGCAGGGAGCCCGATGCGAGGTTCGATCCCAGGACCCTGGGATCATGACCTGAGCCGAAGGCAGACGATTAACGACTGAGCCACCCAGGTGCCCCATGGATATTCTCTATTTTTATTTGCTAAATCTAGCACCCATATTTTGGTCACAGTCTTGTGGGTCAGGAATTTGAGTAGGGATTGGCAGGGGTAAAACATACCCTTCCACGGGGCCTCTTCATGCATGTGTCTGGTGCAAGGGTACTCTGTGGCCTCATATGCCCTCTTCACATGAAGTCTTGTCCTCCAGGGCTTTTCCATGCACTTAGAGATTCCCACACAAGGAGGCTCTAAGACCCGGCTCCAGAAACAGGAAATAGAAGCTGTTAGCCTCCTGACGTCTTGGACCTTGCAACTGGGGCAACACCATTTCTGCCTTATTCTACTGGTAGAATCACAAAACCCACCTGGCTTCACTAGGAGGGGACATAGACCTGACCTCTTAATGGGAGCCGTCATCTTTAATGTGCCACCTCAAAGTTCGGATGTCATCTGTGTTTCTTACGTTGTTCTTTTCCTAGGGCCAAGGTACTAGCTCTGTTCAGCTGCTGCTTGATTGGGTGAAGGGCCCTAGAAAAAGGGGTTGTTCAAAAGGGTATGGGAATCTCGGTTAATATTTCAATAGGTCATCCCACCAGACAACCAAAAAAATCGATAGGGCCAAATATTATATACAGGTGGTCCCTGCCTTACAGTGGCTTGACTGATGATTTTTTAAATTTTACAGTGGTGAGAAAGTGATGCACATTTAGTAAGAACCATACTTTGAGTTTTGATCTTTTCCTGGGCTGGTGAGATGTGGTACGGTCCTCTCTTGTGATGCTGGGCAGTGGCATCATGAGGGTAGACAACGGAACATTCACAACCATTCTCTTGTCCTACAACCATTCTGTTTTTCACTTTGAGTACAGTGTTTACTACAGGATGCCAAGTATTCGACACTTCATTATAAAATAGGCTTTGTGTTAGATGGTTTTGTCCAACTGCAGGCTAATGTTCTGAGCACATTGAAGGTAGGCCAGGCCAAGCTATGATAGGTGTACAGGCATATTCTTTTTATTGTGCTTTGCTTTATTGCACTTGGCAGATAGTGCGGTTTTTTACAAATTGAAGGTCTGTGGCAACCCTGTATGGGGCATGTCTTTCAGCACCATTTTTCCAATAGCTTCTGCTCACTTCTTGTCTGCATCGCATTTTAGTAATTCTCATAATGTTTCAAACTTTTTCATTACTTTATTTAAAAAAAATTTTATTAGAATAAGCGGGGGGGGGGGGGGCAGGGGAGAGGGGCAGAGGGAGAGGGAGAAGCAGACTCCCCGCTGAGCAGGGAGCCCGACATGGGACTGGATCCCAGGACCCTGGGATCATGACCTGAGCCGAAGGCAGACACTTAACTAACTGAGCCACCCAGGTGTCCCACTTTTTCATTATTTATTATGGTGATCTGTGATCCGTGATCTTTGATGTTACTGTTATAATTGTTTTGGGGTGCTGTGAGTTGCGTTCTTATAAGGTGATGAACTTAAATGTTGTATATGTTCTAACTGCTCCACCGACTGGCCATTCCCTCCCATTTCTCTCTCTCCTCAGGCCTCCCTAATCCCTGCCTGAGACACAACAATATTGAAATTAGGCCAATTAATAACCATGTGTTCAAGTCTCTCACTTTAAGTCCGAAGCTAGAAATGGTTAAGCTTAGTGAAGAAAGCATGTCAAAAGTGGAGATAGGCCCAAAGCGAGGCTTCTGGCACCAAACAGTTAAGCTAAGTTGTGAATGCAAAACAAAAGTTCTTGAAGGAAATTCAAGGTGCTACTCCAGGGAATGCACAAATGATAAGAAAGTGAAATAGCCTTATTGCTGATACAGAGAAAGTTTTAGTATTCTGGATAGAGGATCAAACCAGCCACACCATTCCCTTATGCCAAAGCCTAATCCAGAGCACAGTCCTAACCCTCTTCAATTCTACGAAGGCTGGATGTGATGAGGAAGCTATAGAAGAAAAGTTTGAAGCTAGCAGAGGTTGGTGCATGAGGTGTCCAGGAAAGAAGCTATCTCTGTAACATTAAAAGGCAAGGTAAAGCAGCTAGTGCTGATAAAGAAGCTGCAGCGAGTTATCTGGAAGCTATAGCTCAGATTAGTCATGAAGGTGGCTACACTAAACAGACTTTCAGTGTAGATGAAACAATCTTCTATTGGAAGAAGCTGTCACCTAGGACTTTCATAGCTACAGAAGAGAAGTCAATGCCTGGCCTCAAAGCTTCAAAGGACAGACTGACTTTCTTGTTAGGGTCAAATGCGGCTGGTGACTTTGAGTTAAAGTCATTGCTCTTGGAACATTCTGAAAATCCTGGGGCCCTTAGGAATTAGGCCCAGTCTACTCTGCCTGTGCTCAAACAAGGGAACAACAAAGCCCGGGTGATAGCGTATCTGTTTGCAACCTGATTTATGAATATTTTAAGAATATTTGAGCCCTACTGTTGAGAAAAAAGATTCCTTTCAAAATCTTACTGCTCTTGACAATGCACCTGGTCACCCAAGAGCTCAGATGGAGATGTACAACGAGATGACTGCTGTTTTCATGCCTGCTGACACAGCATCCGTTCTGCAGCCCACGGATCAAGGAATAATTTCAACTCAAGTCTCATTTAAGAAACACATTGTAAAACTATAGCTGCCACACATAGTGATTCCTCTGATGGATTTGGGCAACATCAACTGAAAACCTCTGGAAAGAACTCGCCATTCTAGATGCCATTAATAATAGAAATCAATAAAAATAACAATAAAGAAGTCAAAATATCCACATTAACAAGAGTTTGGAAGAAGCTGATTTTGACCCTCATGGATGACATTTGAGGAGAGACTTCAGTGGAGGAGGTAACTGCAGATTGGTGGAAAAGCTAGAGAACAAGAATGAGAAGCGGAGCCTGAAGATGGGACTGAATTGCTACAGTCTCATGATAAAACTGTAACAGATGAGGAGTTGCTTCCTGAGAAGAAGAAAAAAGGGCTTTCTTGAGATGGAATCTGTTCCTGGTGCAGGGACTATGAGGATGGTCGCAACGACAACAGAGGATTTAGAGTATCACGTAAACTTAGTTGATAAAGCAGAAGCAGAGTTTGAGAGGATTGACTCCAATTTTGAGAAGTTCATGGTGGGTGAAATGCTATCAGACAGCATCGCATGCTACAGAGAAATCGTTTGTGGGAAGAAGAGTCCATGGATGCAGCAGACGTCATTGTCTTATTTTAAAAAAATTGTCACAGCCACCCCAGCCTTCAGCAACCACCACCTGATCAGTCAGCAGCCATCAACATCGAGGCAAGACCCTCCAGCAGCAAAAAGATGACTCGCTGGAAGCTCAAATGACAGTATTTTTTAGCAAGAAAGTATTTTTAAATTAAGATATCTGCAGTTTTTTTTCCACATAGTGCTATTGCATACTCAATAAACTACAGTACAGTGGAAACATAACCTTTATATGCACAGAGCAACCAAAACATTCAACTCACTTTATTGTGATACTCGCTTTATTGCGGTGGTCTGGAACCAAACCTGCAGTATCTCTGATGTATGCCTGCATTTTGACTTAACAATATTTCAACTTTGGATGAGTATATTGGGATGTAACCCATGGTAGGTCAAGGAAATTCTGTAATGATTCAGAAAGATATTCACAAAATGTTAAATGTAACAAGTTACAACACTGTGTTTACAGTATGATGTTTTAAAAAAGTTACTGTATAAATATTGGATAGCTATATGCAATAATGTCAGCAGTTGGTGGTTTATCTGTAAAAGGTGTGATTCTGGCACATTTTAAGCTTTCTGTTTGTGTTTTTGGTATTTTATAAAATGAATATATGTCAAGTTTATTTTAGGAATAAAAAGGTTATCATAAAACAAAACATAATCCACTGTCCTCTGAATTATTAACCTGTTTGTTATTTGTATAAATTTTGTTGAGCATGTACCAGTTACTATTCTAGTCTTCGGGGATTCTGCCATGAACAAGCCAGATGAGATCTTCCCTAGAGCCTTTAGAGAGGACATGGTCCCACCAACACCTTGATTTTGGACTTCCTAGCCTCCAGAAGTCCAGAGAATAAATTTGTGTTGTTTTAAGTCACCCAGGTTGTGATAATTTGTTATGGTAGCCCTGGTGCATGCAGGTAACCCTTTTATTCCTTGAATCTTATTAACCAATGATGTAGATTTCCATTTTGGAAATAGGCAGTCTAATTGTCTCCCACTTTGCAGGTAGGGAAACAGATTCTGGGAAGATGTGTAGCTTATCCCAGACTCCACAGAACATGGCTTCCGTAGCAGAGCCAGGACTCAAACCCTGGTCTCTCTCCCTCCGACATTTAGGCTCTCCCCATGATTCCCAGCTTAGAGACCTGGGTTTCTAGCAGTTGTTTTTTATTTTTAAGTTTTTTATTTAAATTCCAGTTAGTTAACACACAGTGTAATATTAGTTTCAGGTGTACAATAGTGATTCATCACTTCCATACAACACCCGGTGCTTATCACAAGTGCACTCCTTAATCCCCATCACCTATGTAGCCCATCCTTGCCCCCACTCCCTACAGGTAACCATCAGTTTGTTCTCTATAGTTGAGTCTGTTTCTTGGTTTGCCTTTCTATATTTTTCCCTATGTTCATTTTGTTTCTTAAGTTCCACATATGAGTGAAATCATACGGTATTTGTCCAGCAGTTTCTACGAAGTCTTACGCATCTGTTTCTAAGGTCCTCGCTACCTTCCCTGCCTGTCAACCTGCAGAGACAAAAAAAGCAGCCCCCAGGGGACCTCTCCTTGGCAGGAGCCCCTCTTCCTCTTGGCTAATGAGGTGTCCTTGTTAGGGCTGGCCCTCTTGTAAGACCAATGAGTCCCAGCTGGGATGAATGGACTTAGCTGTTTCCAGGGGTGCTCAGTGCCACTTCTATCTGCAGCAGCTGATAGGCCCTCTGCATCATTTGCTGAGGTCAGGGTGTTTCCCTCACTCAAGAAACCACAGCCCCTCCTCTGACCAGGCGAGGAAAGGCCTACCATTGCTTTCCTTTCTTTAGATGAGGTTTCCCCCCTCCCAGATTTTAAGATGAATACGTGCTTTTTGAAAAAAAGAAAAGATAAAGGACAAAGAAAACAAAAATTACTTATATAATCACCAACTGTTTACTATTTCCAAATGTCCAGAAGGAAAAAAAAACTACATCTGGTTATGTTACATATACAGACACATACATTCCCAGAACAAATTCAACTGTGTTTAAAAAATAACATAAATGGACTCTGCTCATGGAGAAATCGAGCCATCAGAACAAGTTTTGTACTCTATCCTAAGCATCTCCCCAGGTTGTCAAAATTTCTTTGTAAATACCATTCTCAACAGCTGCATCCTACTAGTCTGCTACGTGGATCACCCCTTATTAATCATTTATTATCTGTTACCAAGCATTCAGATTGCTTATAGTTTTTCATTAACTTAAAAAAAAAAAAACGGTTATGAGCATACTTGATATGCCTTTGTATACGTTTCTGATTATGCCCTTGACACGAACTTCCTGGGTCCAAGGTTACAGACATAACTTTTTTACAGCTTTATTGAGGTATGATTTACACAACATAAAATCTACCCACTGTGAGTGTATAATTCAGTGATTTTTAGTAATGTATACAATCATGCAGCCATCCCTATGGGTCAGTTTTAGAACACACTTATCACCCCAGAACATTTCCTCCCATTCCTTTGCTGTCAAACTCCCATTCCAGGCCCAGACAATACTGATCTATCTTTTTTTTTTTTTAAAGATTTTATTTATTTTTTTGAGAGAGAGAGAATGAGAGACAGAGAGCACGAGAGGGAAGAGGGCAGAGGGAGAAGCAGACCCCCTGCTGATCAGGGAGCCCGATGTGGGACTCGATCCAGGGACTCCAGGATCATGACCTGAGCCGAAGGCAGTCACTTAACCAGCTGAGCCACCCAGGCGCCCCAATACTGATCTATCTTTATAGATTTCCCTTTTCTGCCATTTCATATAAACAGAATCACACAATATATATTTTTCATATGGTTTCTTTCACTTAGTGTCCTGTTTTTGTGGACTGTTGTTGTAGCATGAATCAGGAAGGACATAGTTCCTTTTTGTTGCTGAATAGTGGTGTGTGGATGTACCACGTTGTGTTTATCCATTCACCTATCAGTGGAAATTTGGACTGTTTCCAGTTTTTGCTATGAATATTTGCTTACAAGTCTTTGGGCGTGTTTGCATTTCTTTTGGGTAGATACCTAGCAGTGGGTTATATGGCAAGTTTATATTTAATTTTTTAAAAAACTGCCATACTGTTTCCAAAGTCGCTGCCACGTGTCACATTCCCACCAGCAGTGTTACGAAGGTCACACTTATTTTCCATCCTTGTCAACACTTGCCATTTCAATTCTATAGCCCTTCTAATAGGTGCGTATTGGTATCTCTCTGTGGTTTGAATTCTCACTTTCCTAATGACTTATGGTATTGAGCATCTTTTCTTGTGCTTATCAGCTATTTGTGTCTCTTCTTTGGAGAAATGTCTAGTCAAATCTTTGCTTATTTTTTAATTGGGTTATGTGTCTTCTTATTGTTGCTCTTCATATATTGTGGTAACGTGTCCTTTATCAGATACATGATTTGGAAATCTTTCCTCCCCGTCTGGGGTTTGTCTTTTCTATTTCTTTAATGATGTTTGTTGAAGAACAAATTTTTTCATTTTGATGAAGTCCAATTTATCTTTTTTTGTGGGGGGTGGTTACCCTTTTTGGTGACTCATTTCAGAAAGCTCTGCCTAACATAAGGTCATAAAGATTTTCTCCTATGTTTTCCTCTAGAAGTTTTTTTTTAATATAATTTGAAATTGATTTTTTTCATTTTGAATATAGCCTGTGGTAATATAAAAAGAAAATAGAGATTAGCAAATGGAAGAAAATACAGAGCACTCATAATCCCACTGCTCAGAGATAAACCACTATTAATGTTTTGTTACATACGTCTATATTGGTTACCTGTTGCTGCATAACAAATTATCCCCCAGATGTAACAGCTTAACACAGCCCACATTTATTATCTCAAAGTTTCTGTGGATCAGGAATCTGGGAGTACTTTTCTGGGTGCCTTTGTCTCAGGATCACTGACAATGCTGTGGTCAAGGTGTCAGTGGGGCGGCAGTCTTCTCAACACCTGACTGGGAGAGAATGTGTTTCCAAGCTCACTCATGTGGCTGTTGTCAGGCCTCAAGTCCTCACTGGCTACTGGTTGGGGACATCAGTTCCTTGCCAAATGGGGCTCTCCAGAGGGTGACTGGCAACATGGCAGCTGGCTCCCCTAAGGGCAAGGGAAAGAGAGCAGGTGCTCAAATACAAGTTAGTCTTTATGTAACCCGGTCTTGGAAGTGACATTCCATCATTTTGGCCTTGTTCTGTTCATAGAGGTGAGTCACCAGGTCCAGCTCCCTCTAGAGGGGAGGAGGTTATCAGGAGGTGGGGATCATTGGGGACCATCTTGGAAGACTGCCAAAATGTCCTTGTTCGTTTTCTGTTTTTCTAATGAAGTAGGTGGCGAATCTTTACCTGTGGAACATACAGATGTAGGAGCTCCTTTCTAGATTGTAGACTCTACTGGGTTGGAATCTCCATGGGTGGGAAATGCCCCGCCCCGCCACCGGAAAGCTGTCTTGTAAAAACTCCACAGGTCATTCTAATGGGAGCCAGGGTTGAAGATCACTGGCAAATTTAAATGTAAGTGGATGTGCCTCCGTATGGATTGCAACTGTGCATATTGTTTAGAACTACGTTTTTCCCCTCAAATAGCCTGGAATACAAATGTGGCCTCAGTTCCCAGTGTGGGGCCACCATTTCTGTTCCTCTACTCCTCAGGAAGCCATGTTTGAGGGTCACTTTGCAGGCAGAGCCCCAGCAGCCTGGCCTGATAATCATGACCTTCACTTTTGGGGGCTTCAGAGTAGCCAAGCAGGCGGCAGAGGCTGCCTGCCCCCATGTTTGGCTCCGGAGCAGCTCCAACATCAATCCATCAGCCCAGAGGACACTTTCAGATGCAAGTCTGCTGGTGTGGGGACTTTACGAGAACAGGAATCCTTGGCTGTGAAATCGCTGGCATTTCATGATGCGAGAGAAGATTTACAAGCTCCTGCTGTGCTGGCTCTAAATTGTGGCCCAGCAATTATGTAATCAAGCCTGTGAAGCAGGCAGAATGTGAGGAGGTAGCAGGTGGGAGACAGGGAAAGCTACCACCCCACTGTGCCTGGGACCCCTGGCTCCAGCCATGCACTCAGGGGGCCTTGGTTCAGGGCTCCTTTGGGGGAGGAGTCATGCAGTAGTCATTAGTGAATGAATGGGCATGTAGTATTATGTGAGGTCATGGGCTCAGAATGGAAGGAGTTTCAAAGGGTCCCCCCGGTGCTCCTTTAACACCTTCCTTGCTAAGAAGCCATTCTGCTTCTGCTCAGTATTCACCCCTACCACCCACTGCAAAGAAGACACCTGCCACACACTCTCCCATAACCCTATTTTTTTTTTGGCATAATCCTGTCTCTACTGAATATATATTTTTGACTTTTTATTTTTATTTTTTTATTTTTTTATTTGTCTTCCCCAGTAAATATAAATTCTCTGACAGCAGGAACCTTGTTTGTCCGACACTCAAATTATTGCTGGACCTTAATACCTATGTGTTGACAGAGTAAATGAATGAATGGATATTTGGATACTTCTAAGGGTGTGGAACTCAGTACCCTACTTGACTGTTGACTCTTCCTTAGCTTGCTGCCACCTACCTCCATGTGGCCTTCCTTCACTGTCCTCCCTTGTAGGGCTCCTCCGAATAAGCCCACTCCTCTCCCCTATTGGAGCTGGAGTTCAAGGTTTGAAAA